GAGGAACCTCATGGAAAACCTTGGCAACTGATTTATTTATTCTGTGAAACTGGAATCTGGTGATAGTAAAAAAATGATGACTTGTGCAGCAGCTGGGGAGGCAGCTTGGTTATGTTTTGCAATCTAGCTGCTTCCACTGGCTTGCAAGAAGCTGTGAGCTGATGGAAGCACACAAAAAACCAGACTGGAACCATAGCTGGCAACAAGAAAAGTGCAGCAGGCATCCATTGTGAGGCTGTATTGATCTCCTTTAGCATCAGCTCTGAATATTGTCTCAATTTCTCTGCATTTTCAGAGGGAATAGAGCAGATCCAGAGAGTATAGTAGCCATTCCTGACAAGAGGTCTGCAACTCTTCAGTACAGTCATACTGGATTTTTTTTATTTTCAGCACAAAGGGTGGCTTCCAAATCTGATAGGGACATCTAAAGGCTTTTTGTTACAGTGGCCTTTGACTTGTACTGCTTGGGGCAACCTTTCTGCACCCTGGTGCATGTATGGAATTCTTTTATATTTTCACTAGTTTAATGGAAAACATTCACTATATTTAAATATACTTTCTGGAGAGTTTTCACTCTAATAACTTTTTTTCTGGTTGAAAGTAATTATTGAAGAGCAGAATATGCACTATTTGTATGAATATCTGCCTTTAGAAACTTGGAAGTTATTTATCAAGAGGAGAGAAAACAAGTTAAGAATGAGAAAGTCTAATTTCATTCTAAAATTTTGACTGATATGTGAGGGCAATGCAAGGAGCAAACAAACCAAACCCACCAAAAAATCCATGCCACAGTAAACTTAGAAAAGTTTGCTTGAAGCAAAATAACATTTTCACTCATTTTTGTTGCTCTTCAGTACTTGGCTGAAAGGGGACTTCAAGTAGAGAGAATGTAAAGCACTTGAAATATTTTATGGTTAAAGCTTCATAAACCACATTTACAGAAATTCTGCTTGATGTTGGAAAAAAATTTGGTTCTTGTCATTCCTATAAATTACTTCTTCAGAAACTGCAATAGTGATAGTTATCTGAAACCAAGGGCTTTGAAATTGCCTCAGAGAAATTGCTGTGGAAAGGATTCATATATACATCATCTATGCTTTTCTTTTTTATCTCCCTGTGCATATACATTTAGATGTGGATCTCAGCATTTCCAGGGAAGGTGCTCCACTCCATATATTGGTGGTGATTGGTGGTTGAGGATGAGCCATCATTAGCATCCTTGTTAAATGTGATTCCCTGGTTTTCCTTTATTATCCTAAGAACCCATCTCCAAGAGTTGGCTTTAAAATTTTTTCTCTGGGTTTAACAGTCTTTTCTGGCGGGTAGACTATAATGGAGTTGATAAATGTTAAATTTCCCTGTTGATGAAAAGATGGGAGGAATAAATTTAAGTATTTGGTAAGTGTCTATTGAAATTGAAAGTTGGACATGAAACTAGAATGCTTTCCATTTCTTTTCAAAATAGGTATAAAAATGAATGCCTGGTCCTCCAAGTGCCTGACAACAGATCATTGCTCATTGATCATCATAGTCTGAGCTCACACAGAATATTATGGTAAATGATGACCTGGGTTTGTGAAGATCTGACTAGGAGGAGGTTCATTTTTTTCCTGCCAAAGTCAGCAAAAAGCCTTGTTAAATGACTGTGATTACATATATCTCTTGGTAGTCATGAATTTATATTCGCTAATTTTTTTATCTTTGCTAAATAGGTTTGTTTCAAATTATTTACAGTTTTAAAAGGCATTTTTAGCACTAACATTTACCATGTCAAACTAACTGTAAAGAGGATTTATGGAAAAAGAGTTTATTTACTGCCTTTTCTGTCTGTACAGCTGCCAGGGACATGGTAGTAAACGCTGAGGATTTTTCTGAGCTCATATTGCAGTAAAGCTATCATTTTATTGCAAGATCAGGGGTAATTTAGAGTCTGCTATAAAATCAAGAAACTGTACAAATTAAAGAATAAATTCACAGTTGAGCAAAAGGTCTTATGATAGAGTTTCCAGAGAAACACTTTTAGATGCAAGTTCAGTCTCTTATTTGAGATTTAGAGTGACTTTCACACTCAGCCTTTTCACCAGAGTTCACAGACACTCATTACTCTCTCTCTTATTCCTGATCCCTGGAGCCAAGTTTTTATAGAGCCACTCTCCTGCCAGTGACTGAAGTTTGTCTGAGGGAGGCTTATCATCAGTACTAACCTTGCTGTTCCAAGGTAAGGATTTTGTGTAGCCAGCAGCAGAGAGAGGACCTACATCTGGTGGCTGTAGTTTCACTGTAGTGAAGTGCAGAGCTGGCTGGCTGTAAACCAAAGCTTCTTTCTGGTGAGCACAGAAAAAACCCATCAGGGCTGTGGGTTTACCCAGTGCAATGAATTTATGTAATGACTTCAAGTTGTTGGACACCTTCCATTTGATAGAAGTGCAGTCAGTATCCTTGTGTCTCAGAGTAAATATCCTCTACGAAGGATTAGGAACTTTAGTTCTTCCATGGTATGCAAAAAGGCAGGAATTGATCATAAAAGCCAACTTCTTAAGAAGACTTTGGTTTTCTCATTTTAGATTGATTGTTTTGTCTGTTGCTTTGACAGAGAGAGAAAATTCAGAAAAGCGAACAGAGATCAGAAGCTGAAGAAAATGTTTGCTCAAACTTTTGTTGTTTTCTATCTCCTAGTCAGTAATTTTATGATGTATCTAATGAGATTAAAATACAAAAAAAGATTATTAAAATGATTCACAGTACTCTTACACAGCTCAGATGAGTCTTACGTCGGCTTTTCATCCTAAAAGAAGATGGGTGATCAAGATGGATTAGCTGTGAGAGATTTGTCTGCTGAAGTGTATTTGCAGTATATGTCCATGAACAATAGGGACAGAATATGTAACTGTTAAAAGATCCTGTATATTTAAATCCTCGGGCTTTGCATTTGATTTGTTCAATGCTTTCATAATGGAACTAAAGGGTATTTTAGCTGTGGCCTTTATGATGCCCTGTTGTGGCTGAACTACCTCAGAATGAGAGACACGGTTATGACAGCAGGACAGGAGGTTTGCTTTCTGCTACATACTGTCAGGCTGTAAATCACATGCCATGCTCCTCCTAACACAAGGTTTAGTTGAGTGAAATTCTGTGGCTAGAGAGAAATCAAGTCAGGTTGGATCTCTGATAGCCTTGACACCTAAGCTGCTACTTGTGTGGTTTAACTGGTGAGTGCAGTATCTTTGTTTGTGCATGTGACTAGCTGGGTCATGGAAGTCACATGCCTTATTCATGAATAGGAGAATAAAGAATTGTTACCAACTGACAGAATGGATGATACTGGACACCTGGTCCAACCCAGCTCTTCAAAGCAGAGTCAACTAAAGTGGATTGCCCAGGACCACTGGAAGAGTCTGGCTCCATCTTCTTTACTCCTCCTGACAGATACTCAAGAAAATTGTTAAGATCCACCCTAAGCCTTCTCCAGGCTAAACAACTCCAGCTCACTGAGCTGCTCCCTGTATGACAGATGTTCCAGTCCCTAATAAACATCATGGCTCATCAGTGGAAGTGCTCCAGTCTTTATCTTTCTCATACTGGGAAGCCTGGAGTACCACCCAGAACTCCAGATGTGGCTGTGGAAAGATCACTTCCTTAAACCCACTCTCAAGAGACTTCCTAAATAAATCCTAAAAGCAATCTTTGCAAAACTTCTCATCACCTTTGTTCTAATTTGTGGGACGCATTTGGTGTGTTATTTATGCAGATGTAGTGAAAATTCAGTATTTCTGATTCTTCTCTTCTTGTGTGGTTTCCCAGACAAACATTCCCAACAGTTTCTTACCTATTTTGAACAGCTGTACATTTTTGTTGGCTTTGTGACAAAGCTTCTGATGCTTGCATGCTTCTGCTCAACTTGGTTAGTTAGCCTCTGTCAATGAGTGTCTGAAGTAAGCAAGGGTTAATGAAAAAAGTTTTGCAGGATTCTGAATATTTACTTCATGCTTAGAAAAGCAATTTTTAGAACAACGGGTGGTTTGGTTAATTTATCTCCCGGGAAATACACTGTTGCTTTTCATGGACTAGCAGAAAACTTGTGTCATGCAATTCCTCTTTCTTGGTAAAAGGAAAAATCAGGAAGAGGGTCTGAGGTTGCTGTCCATTTGGGAATGCTTCTAGAATGTAGTATGCTTTGTGGTATTTAGAAGTCAGAAATTATGTAGTCAGATTTGAAATATCCAAATTATGTAGTCAGATTTGGAATCACCAAAATAAGTGTTTCAAATACGTTAAGTAACAGTTATACAAGTAGCTGAAGGTTGTGAAAAACACATAAAAGTTTAAGGAGCACTTTAGGGCCCCAGCTTTAAAAGTTCACTTCTCGAACAATGTATTTCTTCATTTTCAAAAGTTTTAAGTGTGCATATGTTACAAATTTTTTGTTACCAGAAATCAGTAAAAATCCTTGTGAAATGGTTCTGTTTCTAGGTATGTTATTGGAATTGGATGATATGGTCTCAAAGAATGATTAAACAACTTGATTCCATTAGAAATATCATAAGGAAAACACAAAATTCATTTTGTATAAGTGGGTACTTGGTTGTTGAGCCACGTTGTGAAAGTGTTCTTAACTGCAACAGAAAAAAGCAAAACCCTTTTCTGCTGTGGCCATGCACAGAGAGTTGCTTTGTGAAACAACTTCCTTCTCAGCCAGTTTTTATTCAATTTTTATCTGAAGTTACTTAATTTTTTTCCCCCACCCCTTGAAAACAAGTGTTAATTTCCAGTGGAATTGGAGTTCAGAAGTAGTGGCATATGCTGCCTTCTGCTGATGTGGTGCTACATTTCCTATTGATCTCTTACTTTTTTCTTTACTAGAAGCTCTCTTCTCTTTTGTCCCAGTATTTTTCTCAGTGGAAAAACAAAAGGAAAAGGTGGACCTGAGGTTCAGGAATTTGCCATGAGAAGTGCTGGATACCCCCTAAGATGCATAACACCTGTGTTTGTCATCACTACAGTGCTGCATATGATGCCGTCCTTGACAGAAACGTGGCCATTAAGAAGCTCAGCAGACCATTTCAGAACCAAACTCATGCCAAGAGAGCTTACAGGGAGCTGGTCCTCATGAAGTGTGTGAATCATAAAAATGTAAGTGTTCAGCAGGAGAAATGGTATGTGCATTGCTGTGTTAGAAGGGAAGTTGTTTTGGTGGGTTCCTTTTTTAAATGGAAGAAATTAAAGTAAATTATGCTCAAGGGCTACACACTGTCTGGTACTACATGCCCACAGGAGAGACTGAGGGTACTCCATGTACTTATTTAAAGGCTCTACCAAACTGGGATTGTTCTAGACTTTCCTGCTTCTTGCACCATCTATTCTATATCATTTAGTATCCATAATGAATGAAAATATTCCAGGAGTGTTATTCCAGGGCTGTATGGTAATTTTAACCATTATCTGTTAGAACTATCTGCCTGACACTGTATCAACTTGCTTTTTTGTAGTGAAATTTGTAGGATTGCCACACTGCATTGTAAAGGGATGTTCCAGGGATTTCATCTTCCTCCACCTCCTGGATTTCCTGCTGCCATATCTATGTGCCCTTTCCTTTTCATTAGGAGAGAATTTTTCAGTTTGCAGTGTTTACTTGTCCCTCAGATTTTGCAGTGACTCTTTCTCCTTAAGCAAAGCATAAATGAACTTAAGACAGTGCGATGCAAGGGGAGATTTTACACTTGTTCCCAATCACATGTTCACATGGAAAGAGGAAGGACTGACTCTAAAATGGCAAATTGCAGGACTTTGACACTACAGTGCCTCTGCCTCACTTCTGGGCAGTGATTTATCCTTACATTCCCACTGTGTTGATCGGGACTGTTCTTGTCTCTTCCCTGTTGACTTGATGGAAGCTACCCTCAACCAGCCCAATGCATGAGGATTTGAAAATGCAGGGATGAGCAGAAGTTTTTTAATGGTCTGGAAAGAGCAGAGGGGCAGCAGGAGTGTCACCACTTTTAAGTAAAGAAAAAGAATGTTGAACAATTTCTGCTAGAAAACCTAAAGAGGTGATGATGGAGGTGGGAAGGGAGACATTAAGATGTTGCCTTCATGGCAGCAGTGCTGGTGTCCTCTACCTCTGTTACCTGCACAGAGGGAAAACAGGGGAAATCCAGATCTGTGGGGTCATGATGTTTCCTCTCCTCTTTTTCACACATTCTTACCAGTGTCTTTCAGCAGCCCAGCCTGTTTAAAATAAACCAAACAAAAATGCTAACCAAGCAAGAGAAAGGAGAAAAGGAGTTGAAGTATGCAAAATGTCTTTGCTCAGGGGGGTCTCTGTTTCCAAGTGCTTCTACTGAAAAGTTGTACCTCTCATGAGGGAATTTGTATCAGCCAGTGTGTGCATGTGTGTGCCCTCAAAGGAAGTGAGGCCATGTCAGAGAGAAGGAAGGAATACTGTTTGATGAGATGGTCCTTGGTTATTTCTGCCCTCAAATTAGCCTTCCTCATAAATAAGGACAAAGCACAAAGACTGCTATGGTAGATTGAACTGAAGTTGATCCTTGAACGTGCAACTTCAAAATTGAGAGGAGTGTCTCACCCTTAGCACTTTGTTTTGTCACTGGTTATCCTTCTTTCAGATGATTTCAAGTGCACCTAAAAGAAATCTGAGAGATCTGTGGTATTTTATTTTGAATGCTGCTGATTTTTTTACTCATCCATAAAGTGAGAAGTGTAAATACAAACAGAGCAGTGAAAAAACAGTTTATTCTTTAACACACTTCAAAATGCATTCAACTGATTATGTATATAATTTATTTTTGCTCTTTTGTCTTACTTTGCTTTTCAGATTATAAGTTTATTAAATGTCTTCACACCACAGAAATCTCTGGAGGAGTTCCAGGATGTGTAAGTAACGGGAGCAGTAATTAAACTAAAGCTTTAGGGACGTGTGGGGCATTATGGTGTACCTTTACCTCAGCAAAATACAAACGTTGTAGCCCCCTCTAAAAAAGATAGTGTGAGTCTAGTGGGTAGAAAAATATTCTGAATTCCCATATTGGGAGCTCTTTTGATAATTTAAGGTGAAAACCACCAGTTTCATATTTGTTGTTGTGTAATGTTATTTGCCTGGGGAAATAGGGGTTGGTGTAGAAGAAAATCAACACCTCTGTTGGAACCTTGCCCTGCTGGATAACCACTTTATGCCCAGTATGAGCCTGCTGAGAATGAAATTTTAAGTATTCTCTGTTTTATATTGTTGCTCTCCTTTTATCTTCCTGTCTTTCCCATGTTCTGTGTACATTGCATGGAAATATGTTCCTATTCTATAGTGTGATGCCAGGAGTAACCGATTAATTGTAAAAGAGAATTTTGTGAAGTCATGCAAGCTGAGGAGGATTTTTGAAGGCATTCTGCATGGGGATGCATATTTTACCCTCTCAGACACCTCTGTTTCTCTCAGATTACTATGTGTACTGTGGTAGCCATCCTTGCTGTGATCAAAGGCTGAGCAGTTACATCATCTGGTGCTTGTGGGTCTTTTGGGTTCAGTGCCTTTCTGTGTGGTGCTGCCTGATTGCCCACGTAGGGTATAGTCTCTGTCATGGGGAATGCACCAAGAAAGGGCAAATAATCCACCAGTTTCCCTGGTATACTGGAAGAGTGGTGTCTCAGCAGTGAGATACAAACACCACCGTGGTGCTGTGGTTAGTGGGCCCAGTCTCCAGCTGGGTTATTTCCAGTCATCAGAAATAAAGTGAGTTTTAAAGCAAGAAAAGGCATTGTTTCTTATTTGAGATGATGCTGTGATTTGCCTTCAACACAAAAAAAATAACCCTGTGGTTTTGCCTTTCCATTCAGCTACCTGGTAATGGAATTAATGGATGCCAACCTATGCCAGGTCATTCAGATGGAGCTGGACCATGAGCGAATGTCTTACCTTCTGTACCAAATGCTCTGTGGAATCAAGCATCTTCACTCTGCAGGGATTATTCACAGGGTAAGGGGCCTTTGGCTTAAAACTTAAGGCAGCATATGAAATGATCATGAAGACTTTAAATGCCATTTGTCTCTCTTGTGTACTAGGGATCAAAGCCCTGTGTCCCAGTGCAATGAATAAAAGACATAAAAGCCACAGTCAGAGGTCAGGGGATATGGAATTGGCATTTGCCATCATTTTCATGTGCTGAAGCAGATGAAAAGACTGCTGAGTCTATATTAAATGCATCCTCTCATTTTACATTTTACACATCAGTGCTGTGCCTGGTGAGGATGTGGTACCTGACTGTGAATGTGTGACAGTCGAGAGCAGGGGGGATCAGGTCATGTCACTGTGAGCAGGAGGGAATTCTCAATGGATTGAAAAGACTGGCTTAACTTCTTTATTGAAAAGGGCTTTCACTAATTTGGGATTTCCACATTAAAAAAAAAGTTTCCCTAAAGAAAAGAAAGGCTGATAAAGTGGATTGCAAAGTGGAAGTTCTTCCACAAAGTTCTCCTTTCTTGACATATCATGTGTTTGGCAGAGTGTTGTAGATTTGGCTGCCAGATAGTCATCCAGCAAAGGATGAGGTGAATTATTATAAACGAGGCATTAAGGTATCTCTCCAGGTGCAGTAGAAATGTCTCTATCAGGTTCACAGTGTTAAGAGAAAATAATCTAATCAAAACAGCGCTTGGATACTAATCCTAGTAAATGTAATTAATTTAATGCCAGTAGGCTCCTGTTATCCAGGTAAAGGCCAGTATGTCGAGGTAGAACAACTTCCAGAACAGTTTGCTACAGAAACAACAATTACAAGTATTTCTGATAGCAACTGGGTCGGAAGAGGGAAAGTGTATTTGAAGGGTGACCTAAAGTATCTGTTGGAATCATAGCCGTGCCTGGCTTTATAAAGGACAGTCACATGGGTTTTTTTCACTGTCTTTTGCAGGATTTAAAACCAAGTAACATTGTAGTAAAATCTGACTGCACGTTGAAGATTCTGGATTTTGGACTGGCCAGGACTGCAGGCACTAGCTTCATGATGACCCCCTATGTGGTGACACGTTACTACAGAGCGCCAGAGGTCATCCTGGGAATGGGCTACAAGGAGAACGGTAGGGCTGCAGTGCCACTGCACCAGGGCCCCTCAGGGGCAAGCTCTGCTTCACCACTGTGAGGGAGACCCAAAGGAGGGACAGGAAATGTAGTGGGAAATGGTGGGGAATACACCTGGAGTTAGAGCAGTTCCTCACTGCTGCGAACTGCAGCTGCAGAATGCATTTGGGATGCACTGCTGGTGAATTTATCACTGTGGGATGGCAGAGTAACAGAGAACTTATTCTTAGTTATGTTTGAAGTTACAACTACAGTCAACTCATTTTGACCAGAGCTTTCATCTTTGCCTTTTGTGGCCGTGAAATAATGTGGGAACCACTGGAATTGCTGAACAAGTCATGTGTTCTAAATTTGAGTCTGGATCTCTGAATTGTTTGAAGAAACAAGAAGTACAAGCTGAAATAGAAAATCCTAGCCCTTCCAGCATTTCTCTAAATCCAGAGCTCGATCTGAATTTCAGGAATTAATTCCTTCTTCATGATAAATTTAACAAAGTCCCAGGTTTTGCGGACAGGTTTCATCTTGTCAAGATCTAGGTATAAATTTTGCACTTTGAGTTTGTTTTTTTTAAATGACAAGTAGAATTGCAGAGAAGGGGAAAAAGCTGAAACTAAAAAAAATATTAAACAAAACATATAATTTGTATGTAATCTCCCTAGAAGTAAATAGGATATTCCTCTGAATAGTCTGAGAGAGATCTTGGTCCTTGGAAATATTGTGAAAAGCAGGTGGGGGTGCTTGCTATAGAGAAGTGGACAAGGAAAAACTCAAATTTTGCAGAAGATGAAGGGACAACTTTTTAAGTTGTTCTCATTTTGTAACAAAACTGAGAATTGCATTTGAGTGCCAGGTAGACCAGGCAGGAAATGAGGGAATAGCTGTGGCTCAGATTTTGCTGTCAAAGGTATAATTTGTCTGTTTGAGGAGACTTTTTGATGGCAAATACAGCAAATGTGACAAGACCAGGAATTTATTAAAAGTGCCCTACTTAATTTGTGTTGAGGAGGTTAGATAACCTGCAGGAGAACTTTTACTAACAGCCACTTTACAGCATCCTGTAAAGGGCAGTGAAACTGATTTTGGGAGCCAATTTCATGACTTCAGCACTACTGAAAACATAATCACACAACCTCTTCCAAAATTAGCAAGTCCCTGTATGGATTATTTGTAATGTTTATGAGTTTCAAGTATAAATTTTAATACAAAAGTCTAAAAGTAGAGAAATAATAATAACTATTATTATTATTATTATTATTATTATTATGCAGACTCTTAGCTTAGAGAATAATTTCTGAAAGTAAAGGAATTATATTCTTTAAAGTATTTTGTTTGAAATTTTTGCTAAGTGCCATTAGAAATTTGAGCTAGCACTCTTTAGGCAGTTCTTTAGTCAGTATCCAGAGATCTTCTGTTGTCAAATGAATTCTTTTGTTGTTCTTTTCCCCCTCCAGACATTTAGTAGATGATTAGGATTATTGTTGCTGTTATTGTCCATGAAAGGACAGAGAGAGCATTTGCTTTTCACGTGATTAAAACTGCACCAAGAAGAAGTTAGACACACTTTTGTGACACAGCTGGGAAAGTTCTAATGTTTGCCACATCCAAGGGCCCTGATTGAATGCCCATTGAGGTTAACACAGAGACTTCCTTTGACTTCCCTGGGCAATGAATCTGGCTTAAGATGAATGATCTTGTCTTACTTGGACAAAGCTAAAATAAAGAGAGGAAGAAAACAAAATGTTTGAAAATGAAGCTCATCTGTCAGAGGAGCCGCTCTGCTTGGGGGCTCTGACCCAGCTCCCAAGGAAGTCAACAGAAAGGGATGATCTTTGCTTCCCTGCTCTGGCCTATGCTGCCACATTACTGAAGCTCCCCAACTTTTTCCCCTCTGACTATGTACACTGCCTGTATAAGGACTGTTCACTGCTTTCATTTTCTTTCTGCACTTGGTTGGCTAAAGATGCATAATTATCACCAGTTTGCTGCACTTCTATGGAAGGCCCTAAAACTGTCTGTCACTAGGAAGAAAACTCTGCCTCTGGCATGCTTCTGCTGTCCCATGCCCCTGATACCTGTACCCTCCTTTTCCCAAATGGAACATTTCACCTTTATTTTGTTTCACCAAGAAATGAGTTGTTTGTTTGTTTCTTTGGTTTGTTTTGGATTGCTTTTGAAGGTTAAGAAAGGGGAAGAAAAAGAGGAGAAAATTGGTTGTGTAGGTCAAACATAACCAGAAAATGAGGATTTCAGGCTCAGAAACAGCATAGTCTTTTAAAGCATTTCAAAGCAGTTTTTACCTTTTCACATGGAAGACAGGTTTTGTTTGTTTTATTTTTTTTTCTGTGAATACTGTGTCACTATCTATCCAGCACTTTTGCTTTAAAGACTTAAAGGGCAAAAAACCCCTATCCAAGTCAAGCATATAAAGTAACTGTATATTTAATCTAAAAGCTGAAGGCGGGATTAGGAATGCTCTTAGTCTTGTTGATATTTGTCCTTTGGAGCTTTTGTTACAGCTTTTATTTTGAATGCCTACACAGTACAAAACAGAGTCCACTCAGGTCATGCTCCGTGATAGGCACCTATTGATGGGATATAGGTATAGATCCTGAAAGAGGAGTTTCAAATAACCTTTAAGGGTGGTATTTTTCCACATGGCCTTTACCTGTGTGAGCAGTTCCATTTGGAACCTCTTGTCAGCTGCTGCAGAGAGACTCTGTGCTGAAGAACAAAGCCTAGGAGCTCTGCAAGTGGGATTTATTCAATTATTGTTATCTGGTTGTTTTGGTTTTTTCCTTAAAAAAAAAAAGGAGTGGTTTTTAGCCATAAATTAATTCATAAATACCATGGCTCTGTGCAGTTGTTACTTGATCTTTACTTGCTAGCTCTGGACCTTCACCCAAAATGTTGTTTTTAAACTTTTTCCATTGTTGTTACTAACTGCTGTTGAGCTGACTGACACAGCTTTTGTTTGTTTAGTTACTTATTTTAGCATTTGGTAAGACATGAAAAAGAAACCCAACAAAACCACAAAACAAACTGTACTGTGCTGATCAACCTTTTTCCCCTCTTTTAGGAGTGAAATGTTGTAGTTAACTTTGCTTTTTTTTCCCTCCTTCTTCACTTCCCTGTCTCTGCTGTTCTAGTGGATATATGGTCTGTGGGATGCATTATGGGAGAAATGGTTCGCCACAAAATCCTCTTTCCAGGAAGGGACTGTATCCTTGTGCCATTTGCTGCAGCCTCACCTATTATTTGTTCCTCTCCTCCACCCCATCCCTCTTACCATAAAATGACTATACCAGGATTGTAAAGATAGAAGCAGAAAGTTGAATCTCAGAGGTATGGCTAAATAAAAATAGCACACTACTGATATGCACAAAATTGCAACTGAAAAACAGATGCACAGAATTATTTCAGTCAATTAAATTACTCTAAAATCTGTAATCAATCCATTTTATATACTATTTATGTCATGTCAATAAGCAATACAGAAAACAAACATTATGATGGCAAATTGGACAGCTTTATTTACTATTCTTAAAAGGAAAAATAAGAAAAAAAAGAAAAAAGTCCTAATTTGGCCCATCTCATTCCTGTAAATCTGTTTTTCTGCTTTTATGTTTTGGAAATACTGACTTCATAACATTTGTGGTGACATCATAATCTTTTGCTTGCTAATGCATCATGGTTTTGGATTCATCTCAATGCTGTATGGGCTCAGTGTTGAGTCAATACAACATTTTTACTTCTATTTAAAACAAAATGAAGAATTTGACTCACCCAGTTTAAGGCAACTGTTTTTCTGCTGTGGTGTCCAAATTGGCCTGAAATCAGATTCTCTTGATTTAAAAATGAACTTCCCTTTACTTGCATGAGGTCTGTGTTGTCAACTAAACTTTATTTCCCTCCTATCTTGTTCTTCTTGTCTTGGGTGATATTATTTTTACCCCTTCCAAGGTGGTGAAAGCAATATTAGAAAATGAAAACAAAGGAGGAGGTGTGTACTCAGCCTCCTGTTCATCACAGGCTAAACCTGCCCGTGCTGGCTTGGAAATGTAAGTAAGTGTGTTTTGCCCATCAGAATAAAATGAGGCAACATAACATCTCTTCACTTTTGGAAACAAAAAGGCATCTTATTTTCAGCTAGTTGGCAGAAAGGCACCATGAAAACCTGGCATCAGCAGCCACTGGCAGTTGGTGTGAAGAAAACCCAGCTTTCACAGACATGGAGCCATGGAAGCAATTATTTTTTTGCTGACTTTTGAGTAATTCCTGTCATGTTTGTCAAAGCTGGGTGCTGCCTGTCCTGTTTTCCCAGCTCTGTCAGCTTCCTCTGAAAGCTGAGCTGTGCTTGGTGGCCCAGTGAAGACGCAGTTCTGCTTCACTGACAGGGAGATGGAGGGACAGCAGGGACCTCCTGCTTGCTCAGGGGGTGACAGCAGCACTTTACTGCTCCCAGTCTTAGAGGAAGAGGGGCTGGAAAGTTATTGGATGCAAAACAAGGCAGAGAGGCTGAAATGGTGATTTTCTTTATCAGTAGGTAGCTTTGAGATGCTTAAAGGTGCTGAGCTGTCCCTGGAGCATGAGGAGCAGGCTGCACACCCAGCTCCAGCTGTAACCTCAAAGTGCAGAGCAGCTCCCACCACCCCCAAGATCTGTAATTCAGTGTGATGTTGTGCTGTGTTTCAGTGGTAACACCACCTCAGAAACAGCATCATAATGCTGCCTCCAAACAGTGCACTCTTCTCCTCTTAAAAACAAAGAAACAAAAGAAAAAAACAATAAAAATCAAAGAAAAACTAAACTATTTATAATACACTTGAGGTTCAGCTGTAAATACTGAAGATATTTCCATTTAATCTTTTCTGAGTGAAGTCTGAGATGTTAGTTGATAAGCAGCTGGAATTCATACAAAGAATGGTTTCAGGATAAAAGCATGGTTTATGGGTTGCTCTCCTTTTTCAACAACAAATTAGGAGATATGTTCTTTTGCCCCTGTCTAGAAAAAATGTTAATGCTATATAAATCAAACAATGTAGCTTTTAAAAAATCATTCAAACATGAGAATGACTTTGTTTCTGTCTGGCTGTGGAAACAGTCTCTTATGACAGCGTTGTATTCAGGGATAACAGTAAAATAATCTTAAAATTTCTTTTAACATTTCAGCACCAGTTGAAAATAACAACTGAATTTCTGAAAAAATGCAGCAAACATTGTGTAAATTGTGAGATAGTCCTACTTTTTAAATCATTGGAAATCCTGTATCCTGAAATAGAATTTGGGCCAGGTCACAATTACTACCATGCTTTAAAGGTGGGTTTATTCAGGTGAGCGGGAAGTTTAAAAAAAAAAAGGAAGAAAAAAACAATTTGTACATTCATTTCCAAGTCAGTACTCATTTGTTAACCAGTTTGATCCCATGAATGAGTTGTCAGTGTTGGAAGGACTGGTTTGTGTATGGATCCATATGATTTCCCACCCCTCCATGGCTGTTGATGAGCAGATCTAGCTTCCCTCCCTCCCTCCCAGGTGCAGGAAGAGCTGGAGAAGCATTTGTGCAGCTGCAGGTAAACTTCACAGAAGCACACTACATACTTCCCTTGGGCTACCTAAGGCTTTCCAGCAGAGAGTTTTCTAGCTGGAAGAGGCAAGTCTGTATTGAAATCAAAAATATCAGTTCTTTTTAATCATTCAGAAGACAGTCTCCTGTGTGCACTTGCTATCAATATGAGCTTACTCATTTCTAGTCTGGAGTAGGAACATTTGTGTATGGCACAGTATACATCTAAGAAAAAAAATCACACCTGCTGCCATGTTTCATGGAAAGAAAATATTTTAAAATTTAATCTCACCTAAATCATCCCACTGAGTTACCACTGCACTCAGGTGCTGCTGACTTGAAATGAAATTTAATTTTTAAAGTCTTTGTGCACATTAGAACATGCAGGGGATTAATTTCAGAACTCTCATCTACATAAACAAGAAACTCTCTCTTAAGATGCTTTGAGAAAGCTCTGGAATCTGGGTGGACTGCAGCTGGTTTTCAGACAAGTAAGAACAGCCTCCAGTGTCCTGGAGAGCATTGGGCAGAAATTGCCTGGCAGGGACCCTCATTCCTTGTTATTCAGCTAGGGCAGACATTTCAAAATACTGTCAGGGAAACTTCCTTGTCAGAAATCAGAACCTCTCAAGAAGAAATCCACCTTTCAATCCATTTCCAGATGGATTTTCAGACCAAAATATTCCTGGCAAGTTCCAGTAAGCTTTTGTAGTCCACTTCTGAGTTTCTTGTTCAGTGTTTCTTTGATGCTTATTCCATTTTTGTTAAATTGGAAAGAATGTGAGCAGCTAAAAAGTGCCTGAATTCTTGGATGCTGTTGGAAATATGTTAAAAAACCCAGGGTTTCCCAAAAGCTGGTTCAGCTCTAGGTAATAACATCTTCAAAATCTCATAAGATTTCAATTTAAAGATTGGAAATGTATTTCTGGTTTTTTATTTGAAGATAAGGGAAAACTTAAAATGAATGCTTTCAGGTGAGACAGTTTTATTAAGATCTGAGCTGCCAGGTTCCACAGTGATGTCCTACAGGCACACATGACTTAGTGGGGAAAATAAAGTGATCAGAGCATTTATTTTCAGTACTGAAAAGAGGGCATTTAGAGGATGGTACTATAGCAATTTCACTTGTGAGTCCTTCAGCAGATCAAGGGAAAACAGTGATTTAGCCATAGAAATATATTTTGATAATAGCCAAGTGTCCTGAATTTGGCTAGGCCTGCATTTCCGCTGTAAATATGAAGAACAGATTTCCTACTTCAAGTAGCTTAGAGTCTTACTCAAAAGAGAAAATACCATTAAAGTAGGAAGAAAGAAAAATTCCAACTTTCTTCTATGTAATTATGAACATCCAAGAGGAATTGTGAAGAGAAGTCAGCATTAACAGAGAGCTAATGTTTTCTGTAGCCAGATTTTCAGAATTTCCCTTGCCCACCAGCTGTCTTTGAGAGTGGTGGGATTAAGAAATGCTCTCTGACATCTGACAGAAAGTGTTCTATTGCTTTAGAAAAAGAGCTTTCATCAACAAAGTATTTTAGGAAAAGGTGCTGTCTTTCCACCACTCAAAATCAGAATTTATCTTGGTGTTTGATCTGCATTGATTAATAGGTGTAATTTTAGTGTTTTGAGGGCATTTTTGGGTGTTTCTTAAACTACAGTACAATAAAAACTTCTGCATTTTTGTTAAGCGCAGTCTGTTGTTTTACTTGTTCCGGGTGGTATTTTCTTAAGGCTTGTTTTGTCTTAAAATCAAAACCAGCAACTAGCATCAGGATTATTTAAAAGACACTGTTAAGAGTGACTGGCCTGGCTTTCCAGGTGGGATCAGCTGGTTCATGTTAGCCCGCTGCTTTAGTGTGTGCTGGCTATAATGGCATTGATAGCTAAGTTTGGATCTTGTTGATCTTGATTATTCTTCCCTGGGTATTTGGTTTTGGACTCAGGATTTGTCTTAGAGTTTGCTCATATAAGGTGGAGCCTGTTTCAAAGAGGTCTCAGGGCAGATGTGAGGATGATTTGGCTGTTGCCATTTTTCTCATTTTTTTAAAAATTCAGATATGCATACTCCAAGAGATTAGAGCGTAATTTACACTTAGCATGAAAGCCCCATGCTGTCTGTCATCTGAGTGGCTCTTGGACTGGATCCCAGGTGCCACAGTGAAGATGATCCACTGCTTGTTTCCCATCACTCACCTTAAAGGTTTTCAGGATGTACTGCTGCCTTGTATGAATTTCAACCAAGGCAAGTTTTAATTGAGTTTTCTGGCACCTGTGAGAATTGGATGGTCTCAAGTGTTTGGGGTTTTATTTCTGCGGCATTAGTCAGTTTTTTCTTGATGGCAGCTGTGCTAAATTGAGCTGAGGCAGACTGGAACAGTTGAGCAGAGAATTTAGAACATGTGGACAAAACAGTACTGAAGTGCCTTTTGTCAAGAGCATGCAGGTATTTGGACAGGATCAAAATAAAGAACTGGAACACCTTCAAAATCACAGGAAGCTGAGTTAGGGGAGGTTTAGGTTGGATATCAGGAAAAGGTTTTCACCTAGAGGATGACTGGGCACTGGCACAGGGCAGTGGTCACAGCACCAACCCAACAGAGATGAAGGAGTGTTTGGACAAAGCTCTCAGGCACAGGGGGTGACTCTGGGTTGTGCTGA